AATAGAGTTGAGGACAGCTGCAGCACTGTTTATAGCAAGAAGGCTGTGTTTGTCATGGGTGCCTCAGTGGTTAACACTGCAGCCTCATGGTACCAGGGACCCGGGTTCGATTCCACCCTCGGGCAACTGTCTGTGTGGAGTTTGCACATTCTTCCCGTGTCTGCGTTGGTTTCCTCCCACAGTCCAAAGGTATGCAGGTGAGAGTGGATTGGCTGTGCTAAATGTCACTTCAACACCCCTTGTGTTCCCTGGCCAACATCTCCACCTCTGGCTTGCACAGAAGAACAGCATCTCATTTTCAGCTTGGGACACCCCGCAGCCTTCAATACTCCATCTTGAGTTCAATACTTTTAGGACCTGAGTGCGTTCTCCCATGTCCTTAACCCCCAAACAACACCAGGCCCTGTCATCACACAGCCTGCTCCCACAAACCATCCCATTGTCAGCCATTAATGGGCCCCCATTAGCAGCTATTGATTCTCCCAGGCTGATGATGACGCTTTGTATGTCCAGCTTTTGTTTGCTCTTTACAGGTTCCATCTCTTCCTCTAGCGCATATACCCAACCTTCTCCCTGCTGCAATCAGCTCTGGGCTTGAAACATTAACTCTGCTTTGCCTCCACGCAGATACAGCCAGACCCTGCTGAGGTTCTGTTTCTGTTTCAGATTTCCAGCATCCTCCATTCTACAGTTTTGTTGTAGGTTCACTTCAGGGAAGGGGAAAATCTACCGTCCTTACCCAGCCTGGCCTGCGCGTGACTCCAGACCCACAGCCCAGTGTGGTTAGCTCCAAGCAGCCGGGCTAGCCTGTCTACGTCTCACACAGCTTCTCACCCCTTCAGGGGTGTTTTTTTTTGTTATTTTACAAAAGGAGAGAGCTCCACGTCCTGGTTCCTTGCAAAAACAGGAGACGGTGGTGGTTGGATGGGAGGCCTCTGTTGTTTTATTCCTTTGAGCTCTTTCCCCAATGATGTGGTCAGCATTTTTAGCACAGGAGCCAAATGGCACATCGACACATAGGCCGGACTAGCTAAGGAGGATTTACTCCCTTAAAAAAAAACGTGGGGGACACTTACAGATTGTCAACAAATTCACGATGACCGAGATCGTGTTTAGTTTCCAAAGTGAGTTCAAACCCCAGTGACTGAACCTATCCAACACATATTGGGCCTGAAACCATGTTTCTCTCTCTTTCTCTCCACAGAGGCTGCCAGGCCTGCTGAGTTTCTCAAGCAACTTTCATTTCTCATTGCTATTTGCCCAAGCGTCTGGTTTGCTAGTTAAATTAAGTTACCATTGCTCAGTGATCCATGGGCTCAAATAGGAACAATAACACAAGTTGCTGGGACAGATCAGCAGCATCTGTGAAGAGAGAAAAGTCAGAGTTAACGTTTCGCGTCCCCATGTTTCTGAGGAAGGGTCACTGGACCCGAAACGTTTAACTCTGATGTTTTTTCACTTCGCAGACGCTGCCAGACCTGCTGAGCATTTTCCAGCGATTTCTGCTTTTATTCCCGATTTACAACATCCGCAGTTCTTTCAGTTTTTATTGTGCTGAAATAGGGCTTATTTTTTAAAAATTTGTTCACAGGATTACAACATCATTGGCTAGGCCCACTGTTTATTACCCAGAGGGCAGCTCAGAGTCAAGCACATTGCTGTGGGTCTACAGTTGCATGTAGATCAGACCAGGTAAGCATGGCAGTTTCCTTCCTTAAAAGACATTAGTGAACCAGATGGGTTTTTCCACAACAACCAATTCACAGTCATCATTAGACTCTGAATTCCAAATCCTTTAATGAATTCAAATTCTACCACCTGCCAAGCAGGATGTGAACCCAGGTTCACCAGAACGTTAGAGACAACAAGGTGCAGGGCTGGATGAACACAGCAGGCCAAGCAGC